GTCTCATCTTCCTTTCGTTTGGGCTCACTGACCCCGAGTGGTGTCGGTGGCACGCTCGCCGACGTAACGATTCGGGACAGTCGCTCACCTCTCCTCTAACTAGATTGATTGATCGACGCCTACCTAAAACCTGGAACGAGTGAAAATGCCAAAGAATTAGCCATTTCCGACCAGCGCCTTGGCTAAGAATTTCCAGTTTTCACAGTTTCCTAACACGTGCTGTGAGGCTAATCAATCGAGAAAGTGTCGCGTAATTACCAAAAAAGAAAAAAAGAAAATAGTTGCGAGTGAAATCGAATCGGTTCATAAGAAAGATAATTTTGAGAGCGAAATAAAAAACAGTTTCCAGATCACTCGGTGAAGTAATGACCGGTCCAGCTGGAAAGTTATCTGGCAGCCGAATGCTGGAGTGTCATGTGATGACGGACAGCACCCTCGAAATGTCTCCCGTCGTCGTGAAATATCGCTGGCTTCTTTCAGCGCAATTCTGAAAGCAGGTAGTGGTCTGAAGGTTGCTCCGCTCTCGGCCTTTCCCCATATCGTCTCCAAACATCAGAGGAGTAATATCTGCACCTCTCTGTGGGACCGTGGCTTTAGGAGATCAGCAGGTGGTATAAACTGACTGAACAGCTATCGTTCGAACGAGTGTCGCCAAAAATGACAAAGTTAGATTCTAGGTCATAAAACCGACGATAAGTTACGTTCAAAAATGAGTTAGATACTAAAGACACTCGCGTTCAGAATTCGACTAAACTCTACTTTATTTTTAAAAAAAGAAAAAATAACTGGAAAAGAAATTTTATTCGCCTGTTTTTAAAAAATTCGATTATAATTTACTGCAAAACGTGTGCAGAAATTTCATTAAAAATAGTTCCCACAGTTGGTGAAGACACACGAATGGAGTCACATAGTTCTCTTATCTGCACTCCACTTTGCTCTTTCCATCTCGTCTCTCCCATGTTTCTGATTTATCTTCCAACTTTAGACAAATATGCTCTTTCCCAGACAGGAAATGCGCCCAACGGGGTCGATATGCACCGAATATAATTCAAATTAGATAATAGGGACGAAGGAAGATTAAGTGAAGGAGAGGGTTCGACCGTTTTGCCGGACACTTTTCGATTGTTTAGTCAAAGAGATATTGCGAGAAACAAAGTGTCGATCTACCGATTTACAGGATAATCGTTCCAGTTCGTTTGAGATGATGGATAAACGAAGGGCGAAATTGCGAAAGAGTCACATTCTTGCTTAGAAACACCTGCAAAGTTTCGTCGGAAAATCTTCCAGACGCCCCGAAAGGCCCATTATGGCAGAGTAGCTTCCATTCACCCCAATAAACGGCCATAAAGGTCACTTAGCTTTTAGAGGTCCGTCGTACTTCATCCTCACCACTTCCACTTCCAAGCAGGCCGTTCCCCCCTTTTTTTATATAAATTACAATAATTTCGAAGTCTGTCTTGTTTAAATAAATAGAGAGATTAGTCGGCGACCCCCGGTGACGTTTTTATGGTGTCGATCCCTTTTCCATCTGCGCGGAATTAGGGGTTGACGTATTTACTATCGGTAATATCTGTTTCTTGTCTGTGGTAACAATTAGCGTAGGGGGTCGAAGGTCGTCTCGGAGGTCATTTCCGCGAAGACCGACCTCTTTGTTAGAAAGGCCTCGGGGGCCTTTCTAACAACCAGAAAGTTTGACTTTTGCTACTGTAAGGCCCCCGAAACGATTAACTAGTTAATCTGACACAAAAAGTTTTTTATTTTCAGTGTATTTAAATCAAATTAAACTGTTAATTGTTTCAGTTGTAGATCAACGTGCTGGTATTGAGACACTAATTAATTCGTGTTGTAAAAATAAGAAAAAACTTTTAAAAAATTCCCTTAAATATTCTAATTTAGCTGTCGATTTATCTGATAGACTATGATACATACGTGTTGCGTTAGACAATTTACTACATTTAAACTTCCGCGATCGATGAACCACAAAATAAAGATGAGTAAGGTACCAAGAATTAAACTATTTCTATTGACAAGACTTCAATTACAAACAGATTGGAGATAAAACGAAACCCTTCTTGCATATTTGCAAATTTGTCCTGTAGATATTCTCGTAAAGATTAAGCACATATTGTACGAATTAGTTTAAATATGGAAATCCACTTGCAAGGTCTGTTCTACGTATTAAAAATAAATTAATTTTGGAAGTTTTAATAGTCCCGTATGGATTTTGTAGCTCGTGTGAAGTATTAAAATGTGGACTTCGTTTGTTTTCGTCCGGAATTGAATCACACGTAAACAATTATTTTTATTCTAAAAGAGAATTCTTGTGTAATATTTTGTTTTTACACAACACTTAATTGTAATTAATTAGCTGTAAAAAGTTGAATAATGAATATTACGTATTTAGGTATAGAAAAGGCACGTTGGCTATCATTTCATATAGAATACAGAACTCGGTAAAAACCGACTCTCATATAAATCCGTGACATTAACTCTTTAGGAAATGGCCGCGTTACTCTGAGTGCTGCAAATCACTTAGAAAATACATTATCGTGTAAACGTTAGATACAAAAAGGTACAGTACAAGTGCGCGTAATACTTCGATCACACACACACGCGTAACACGACCGTGGCAATGTAAGTGTGGAAAGGATCCCAGTTTATTAAAGTTCCAAAAGGTAGAACGCGTAGTGTGGAACGAGCCCCGTCGGCTAATTAGGTCCCCATTACCGAGCCACGCCCCATCTCGCAGGGATCGTCAAATTGTTTTATCGACCCGGTCGTCTGGCGCAACTCCCACGATATCAAATTGATTTAAATGCTCTTCGGTAAGGGGAGAGGGGGGTGAAGAATCGTCTCGTTAACCTTAAACCGCATTCAAATTCGCCCGGTCGGATCGCGCTCCGTCCTCTGAAACGAGAAGGATGGAGATAAAGACGTCACGACGACAATGTGGAACGACGACGATTAAAGGAGCTGCAGTTCGACCGCTGATAGATAGACCCTGGCTTTGTTCCATTCGGTGTATTCCTTTTGGCTTTTGTAACCCCGTCTTAGGTCAAAAGAGCCCCGGGTGATTTGTTGCTTCCACTCCGGTCCGAGGGAAAACCGATAGCGACTAGACTACGTCATCCCCGTCCGAATACTCTTTTGTCCCCGCTGACCAAACGTAAAGAATGGTGGGATTTGACCGTTCGCACCCCCTCGATTCTGATTTTAGAACACCGAAGTTTACTAGAAAAATAGAAGGACACCAGCATTTTCTAACTGGTTAGTAAACAGGCACTTAGAAAGTTGGTTCGCGGTAACGTCGACCCTCGTGATTTAATTGGGTGTAACTGTAAATAACACAACATTTTGTGAGCGAGAAAGTGGTGTAATTTCTAAAAATAACACAAATATATCGTATTAGATAATGGTTATTGAATCTTAACACCGGAAACTGTTAATGTACCTTCGTTGTAAACATTGTTTCTTGCGAGTAATAAAGTTGAATATAATATTATGTATTTGTATTGGACCGCACGCGCTCTACCGGTGGCTTGAACATATCGCGGGTGAAGAAAAAAAATCCAGTAAATAAACAAGTGTGTGCAGCGAGTAAACAATGTTGGAATTGCCAAAGAGCCAGCATAATAAAAGGTGGGCGAAGGTAAATGATTTATTTTGAAGACGTTCTGTTTGTCGGGTGGTGCGTGTGTGTCCGGGGGTCTGTTAAAATGTGGCAGGAAACGGGCTCATCTTCCCCACCCGACAACAAACGACGTTTCCGAATGCGATCTTTTTAAAAGATAAGAGCATCCGAGAAAGGGGAAGGATAGGTCTTTTATTAAATTCGTCAAAAGCTCGGGGGAGGGAGATCCCACCGTTCGGTCACTCGGAGCACAGACGGAGCAGAAGGTGATGTCTTTATCCGTTCTAACTATTTAGCATGACAAGGGGAGGGCAAAAATCTCCTTTACACCGCAGGTGACAATATTGACGCGGTAGAAAAAAGGGCAGGGGGTGGACCGGGATCATGTTTTCTCCGATTCTATGGCCGTCCCGTCCCCCAGAAGCTTCCTGACCCCGTAACCGGTGAATGTAGCGAGGGGTGGTCCGTCCGACAAAGGGACGGCTCCCGGACTGCCATCTGTCTGTTTCGGCCAATTGTACGGTCCCGATGAAGCGATCAGAGGTACGGGGACAGGAGTGAAGCGCAGGGCAGCAACGTTTCAATACCGTCTGACGGCGCAGCTAAGGAGGAACTATTGTCTCGTTATCACTTCTGCTTCAACACTTCGTCAGAACTATCGGTGGGATTAGCGAAATCCCATAACTGTCCTCTGTCACCCCGAACAATAGGCCGGACCCTGCGACAGACGGGGAACCTTCAATGGGGGACAGGGATGCCATCTCCTCTCCGACAAACAAGAAGCACTCTATCTACTTACAGAACATCCCCAGATGGTCCCAACTCGTTCTCTTACGGGGGTTGCGGTTAACGCGCGCGCCCTCCCTCCCTCCCGGCTGCAAAACGCTCGAAAATTCTTTCGTTTTCGGCTACACTGGCGAGTATTAGAGGAGGCGCTCTTTTTTTTTTCTCCGGGAGCGAGTCTCCCGTTACAGAATCGTCGGTGGCACTCGTTGTTTATACGCCAACACGTGGCCGGCCGCTCGTCCTACCCTTATTGGTCAATTACGCGACGCGTTGGCGATAAAACTTCCTCAATTAGTGTTTCTACGTGACAATCGGAGCAACCAATTAGCCCCTTCATCTCGTTTCGCAGACGTTTCCTCAGTCTTATCTCTTCTGACCGCAAACAGGAATTCTCCAAACGTTACCCGAAGCTGAAACTCACTCTCCAGATAAGTTTTATCGAACGCTACAAACTCTCCTCTATTTCATCGGTAATTATGTATTTATTTTGCCTTAAATATTCGTTCGGCGCGCGCTCACGCGGAGAGGGGACGCGCCACGCGGGCGACTCTCGGCCGTAAAAAATGTAAAGATGCCACCTCGGACCCATCCGAGTACTTACGAAGGTGGAACTCGATCACCACCGAATATCCGGATGACCCGACGGAGCGGAGGAAGCGGCCAATGGACGACGCTTCTTCTCGTCACGTGAGCACGGCGACTCCTCCCTCCGGGCAGGACCGCGAATGAAGTCCATACGTCATCGACTCGGTAGGTCGGCGCGCGCGATGGTCGCGCTGGCAATCTTCGACTCGTGCAGATTCGCGGACGACCCAAAACCCGACACCTTCCATGAAGAAGACGGAAACTTCGAACAGTTACAGTAAGTTGCAATTTCTGCTTGGTTTTCTCCTTCGCACGAGCGCCGGACGTTCGACCCCACCCGACTCCCGAGTGGTCGCTCTTAATGGGACTCGGGATGGATCCGCGGATATCGGAACACTACAACGCGTCACTTAATACAGGGTTAGAACCCACAGGTTGCCTTCCCTCCACTCGGAGAGGTCCTTAAACGCCGTGAGTCGAACTTCGAAACCGAAACAAAACTTTCCGTGATTCATTAGTCCAAGACGGGGATATCGGCGATGATGTCACGGTGAGGAAAACGCGTATCCGACCGACGTTCCTCGATAAACTACGCGAAATTTTCGACAAAGTTGCCGGAATGCTCCCCGTCGAGAACGAGAAGGAACCGACGAGGCCTCCTCTCTCGACCCCTTACGGTTTACAGAAAAGGAACCGGGCCCTTTTAATATTTAAATAATTTGTCGGTGGGAAGTTTTCGCGCACCCCGTCGCACGAGCGGCAAGCGGTCCCCCCAGTCTCAACCGTCACTTTGCGTTCTCCGACCGAGCTTTTGTTAGAGGCGTCGTCCGCGACTCCACGGCCCGAGATTAAGGTACTCGAAACTCACCGTCGCCCTCGTAACTAACGAGAAACTCATCTCCACCTCCAAATTCGTCTCCTTCTCTAAAATATCTTATTTTCTAACTTAAAGGCGACTTTGGTCGGCGAGAAAGCGAAACTTTTCCTCCCGTCAGCCATTTTCGTTAGGCCTATCCGAGTGGGGTGCGTATTATTTACCGAGTTTTAAATGGGAAAGACGTTAATCAAAAGGGGCGCATTTTTGTTTACTTTCCGCCCAATTTCCGGTTCCTATCTATCGGAATCGAAACGTTCTTCTTCCTATCGTAATTGGTTACATTTGCTCGGTGATTCATTCCTGTCGGAACGTCGGACGTCGGTGTTAAAGTCAAAGAAACTGTATTACTCAACACCGCGTCGATACGAGGAAATCGTTTGTCGACCAAACTGTTTCTACGATACAAACAAAAACAAATGTTTTCTTAATACGGGATTTTACACCAATTTATTATACCTTTAGTTTGCATGCGGGATAATGGCCAACGTCCCGTCACTTTTCTTCTGGTGTTTAAGAGTGTAATTTTGCTTCGGGGGGATGCCCAAATGCCAAACCAATGTCCGATAAGGAAGACGGTTAGCTAAATTCGAGGGACGAATCCGAAACGAAACCTATAAAGTGTTTCGGGTGAGGGAAATGAAGCGCCTGGGTTGCGTACGTGCCATCTATTTGGCTCTTGTAAGTCATCGGCCAGGCAGCTTCCTTTTCGAAACCGACTCATCCACATTCGGAACACTTATAACATCTGCCGACTCTCTCTCACTTTATTTCCATCACGTCCCGACGTCGCTCTTTCTGTTTTCATGCATTAGATGCGGCTTTATCGACTTGGACGCCCAGAAATTCGATCTCCGCCGGGATATTGTGCATTTTGGACAACCGTTTCTCTTCCCTATTCCCGTCCTCTAGGCCTACGCTTCTTTGCTCTCATTTCTGCCACACTCCTCTCGAGAATTCTGCTTAAAAGTAAATATAATTGGTCTGTAAATGTTCTTAAATTTGATTTTTTAACAGTTCAAATATCTGCAGTCTCCCTGTTGGTGTACTCTAGTGTTTCGAGTGTCTGGCTAGTGGGATAGGCTCGTTTGTATGATAGCCTATCCGTGGCTCACCGCTCCCGGTTTTACTTCTTCGGGATAATTTAAACACACGGTTTTTTACTTTGAAAACTTTCGATTAGTTACAATTGTTTCGAGTATTAAATTGTAATTTTGTTGTAGAATAGGAACCGGTAGTTACGTCACAAAAGCCAACCCTGTTGTGATGTGGTGCAGTTTTTGAAAAAGCTAAGGATTATTCGAAAGTAGAGTGATTTAGAAGGATTTATATGGTGAAAGAAAAGAGAAAAAAAATTGTTGTTCCTCGCGCCGGTGGCAATTAAAAGTGGAGGAGAACATTGCAGATTTATCAGTCTGCACTTCCTCCCCTTAATGACGAATCTGGCGAACATCACCGGCGTTGGCTAGAGAATCTAGAAAGAGAGGACTTCCCATAATTAAAACGAAGGGAAATCATTAAGATATCGTAGGATGCGGATCAAAACCGTGAAAGGGGGAATTACAGGGTTGACTAATTAGAGCGTTTGATAGCGTTTCCGTCGGGGGGGACGACGAGCCCGTAAACAAGAGGCACTCGTCTTCCCATTAGGGAACGACCGAAGAAGTGTCGTTTTAATTAAAGTTTAAGAAAAGTGGCTCCGAATATAAATCCTTCGCCCGGGTCGCGCAAATGGCCCTCGCTATAACGCCATCTGTCGGCAGTAACTCATATCTATGTAGTTTTAAGAGCGAACACTACCCGCCGGCCAATTATTAGGGCAAATTTGTCGACCGCGACCGATTTGGGTAGAAAAGTTCCAAAAAAACAAGAGGAAAAAAGGAGCGGAGGGAATGGCATTAGCATAGAATGACGTCATATTTCAGTAGGAGACATTACCGAGTTTTGTGCTAAGCTAGGAGATTCTTGGACAGATAGCGACCATTACCAATGAGATAGGTGAGAGCAGAGAACGGGAAAGGAAAAAAAAATAGCTACGATTTCCTTTGGAAAATCGCCTTTGTCCATTGAAGTGACTCGGGGAAAGGGATGGTGGAAGTGACATTTAGAGGGAGGCGGTGGACGTGGGACGACAACGCTTTCAATTTTGCCAAAATCTATCTATTGCTCCTGTGGGGAGGGATCGAGAAGTAAAATCGGAGTGGTGGGTCCTTATCGGATCGCCTTATCGCTGGCGAAGTGCGAAAATGGTATTCCGGCCTTAAATAGCCTCGTCCACCCGTCCTTTTCGCTGTCGGGTGCCCCATTTGGAACGAAGATTTGTGTGCTTCGGCAATCGCCCCGCTGCCCGACGTTTAACCCTAATTGACTCGGGGGGACAATCCCGTCCCCTGCTCCCCTCCTCGTTACGGAACGTCGCTCCATCCCATAATGGAAACGGTGGCGATTCCTCTTCCCTTTAATTTACGCCATTATCGAAACGCAAACCGGTTCGGACCGGGTGCCGAAATTTCGTTCCTTACAACGCGTTACTCCGTTTAGTTACGAGTGACGCGCCTTGCTTACGGGTTTGATTAGAGGGGAGCCGATTTTTAATTACGTGGACGACCCGGTAATTAGAAGAGATCGGTTACTCGGCCGTAGAATCCGAGGGAGGAGGAAAAAAAGAATAATCTTACACACTCTCTCTCTCTCTGTGTGTGTGTGGACGTCGTGCCTCGGCATCGGGTCGCAATTAAAATTTTGCTGCATCACTTCGAATATTTTCGCTCCGCCGACCAAATTATATCTCGCTCGTGTCACTTTCGATTTTTGGAAACATTTCGGACAAAATATTTTCTAGAATATCTCATTAAAATCTACACTCTTGTAGAGAAGACAATTAAAGAATTGAATTTCTCGTCGTCTCCCTTAAATCCTTCCCATCCGAACTGTATTCTCTACTTGGGTTACCTATCGTCCAACTTTCTCAATTGTTAATTTATTATACAAACCCGTTACGATTTTAAAATATACAATGGCGGCCTAAGAGTTGAAGTCGTCGGAATTTGCAAACAAAAGAAGAGCCATCCTCCTCGGAATCGATGACACTCACGAATTTCGGCCGGGTTTAAATTCTGAAAACGATTTATGAAGGACCCACTTGAATCTTTATAATTTCTTTTTTTTACTTTAGCCAAGTGATAGATGAGTCATTCTAATAATATAATCGTTTCCGTAAGAGGTTTCATAAGGAAAAGTGTTGGCTCTCGTCGCTGCGAAACTTCTTTCCTCGTTCAAACCACTAAAATTATATCAATACAAATAAATAAACATCCCGATATGATTTATATTAGCTTTCTGTATTCTCGTCTTCGCTAGGGTGAGTGGTAACAAGAAATTTCCGGGTCTCTCCGGGTTCATAGGAGAAACATGGACAGTGTTAGAGGGAGAAACTGCTTTCTCCTCGATTTAAGAAGTGTCTTAGATTTCTAGATCATTGTTATCCTTGGAGTTTTCTTTAGAATCTAGAATTTTCGACGTCGTTATTAGAGGGAATGGTATCTAAATCCGGGTGGCAATTTCCTACTCGGCCTATTCTGCTTGGCGGAGAGAAGTAAGAGAGAGGGAGAGAGAGAGAGAGAAAGTCGGGGTAAGTGCTGCCACTTTTTTCTGTCACCTGCACAATACCACATGAACCTCGGCCCGAGTGTTTTAACTGCTAAAACCTGTCGGGGCAGCGGTGAAATCGGGCGGGCGCAGCCATTCCGCTTACCTATTGGCTGTCGGGGTCTAAGCGGTAGTTCCCGACCAGTCGCCCGTAAGAGGGGGGAGGAATAGAAGAGGCCGAGATCCCGTCAATGGTTCCGGTTAAAACGTATCCCAGATTACACGGAGGTAATGGGATAAATTTGTTTCAAATGAGTTGTTTCCAGCAGAGATCTCGAGACGGGAGACCGAAATGATTTATGACGTTCGGGACGGAGGCAGATATTAAAGTGTTTTTTCCTGCACCAGCCAATACTCGGCCATAAGGTTGCGGGTTGAGGGAGGGAAGTACTCCAGATGACTCCGACTTACTTCGTAATATAGCGTCCGCGTGTCACCCGGCGGTGGGTCGGATTTCGGAGATGGGTCCCGTTTCTGTAATCGCGTGGCATCGCCGATTCCGTTCGTTCTTTTCTAATAACTCGACCCTCCGTCCAATAATTGCCAATTCTAAGAGAATTTTTGAGAAAGAATCGCTTAAAGTTAAGCTCAATCCCCCGTTGACGTCACCGCTGTTGACACTGGTCCTATTTCCTTCGTCCCGGGAAGCGTGACCAACGGATCGGCCCTTCTTCGCGTCACGTCTCACACTCACCGGTGTAGGATTTCTGTTTGCTCATAACCTGGACGGCTTCCTTTAATCCTCCTACGACGCC